TCCAAAACTTTAAAAACATTTAGCCTTTAAGTAAACTTTAATACACAATTTTACTAAAGGGGGTCATTTATATCTGATTTGTCAAAAAAGATGTGGATATTTTAATTTACTCATATACTTTCAATTGTGTTTCTTTTCTTTTTTTTGTAATCCAAAAGGACCTCCTGGCATTCCTGGAGCTCAAGGAGAACAAGGAGAGAAAGGTAAAATAAGTACTAATAGCTTACTGTACTTACACATAGTAGACTCTTTAGACTGTGCCATAGACCCCATGTTGTACAGTCCACTTCAAGAAGACTGGCTTAATAAAATTATGATATATATATATATATATATATATATATACAGGTGTACCTCTGTTTATGAAGTTAATGTGTTCTCCAGGGCGTTTCATATTGCAAAAAATTCGTAAACCAAAATGGGGTTCCCCATAGGAATGCATTAAAAACCAATTAATCTATTCCAGAGGTCAGAAAAAAGTTTTTAAAAAGTCACTGTCACTATAGGTCAGTGCCGGTTTTTAAATGTAATTACGCTTTTTTTTTTCTTCACTATAGCTCAGAGAATCAGCTGTCACTTTCCCCTCAGCTAAGAGTGAAAGCTTCCTTTCAGTTTATTTCCCCAAAAGAAACAATGTTTCCTTTTAGTTTGTTTCCCAAAGAAACAAAGTATCCTTTAGCTCCAGGGAAAGTGACAGCTAATTCTGTGAGCTATAGTGAAGAAAAAAAAAGCCGGCAATTGCATTTAAAAATCAGCAGTGACATACACTTTGTATTGTGAAAAAAATCCGTAAAAAATTCATTCATAAACCGAAAATTATGTTAACCGAGGCGTTCGTAATCTGAGGTACTCCTGTATATATATATATATATATATATATATATATATATATATCTCCTACAATTCCAATCTTTCAGAGCTAGAGAGATCAGGGTTGATTTGCTAAAGACAAATACACTATTCACTTTGCAAAGCAAGATGCACTTTGCAAGGGAATGTTCCCCATAACTCAGTAAATGAGGTGAAGCTATTCTAACTTCCATCATCCAATTATGTTCAAGCAAAAATGCTGTGTTTTTTTAATGTTCCTTGGACATAATTGAGTATTCTTCACACAATGAAATTTCATCGTATTCACTAAGATCTGGGGGAAAATTCCCTTGCAAAGGGCAACTTCGCTTGCAAAATAAATAGACTATTTGCCTTCCCTAAATCAACCCCATAGTCTCTAGTGTTAAAGGGAAAGTGTAAAGATTTTTGGTGAATTTTAATTCTTTCCAAGGTTTTAAGTTTATGTTTTAAACAATTTCTTGTGAAGGCTGTGTTTGCCTGCATGGGGATGCGCAGATGTTTTGTGCATCCGTGTGCAGTCAGTCCCATTCATGTCTATTTGGACGCAGCGGCTGCACAGACACAGCCTCTTCTCCCAATATGAAATCCTGTATTCAGACACACACACCCACAGGCACCTGCGCCCCCACAGATGTCAAATAAGGATCAGCAGTAGCGATTGGGACTTCCTACATGAGAATGCATGGAACATCTATACATCCCATGCGGAGACACACAGCCCTCTGTATCAAAGTACGCTTAAAGTGCTACGAAACCTACAACAGTAAAATCAGTCTGTAGATGCAGTAAAGCATATTTGTTATACTCACTGTGGAACCTAAGGGGTTAATCCTCTGCATTGTATAAAAAGGATGTTTGATCCTGTTTTCTCTGAGCCTCCCCCTTCTTCTACTGTCCCCAATCATCTGCTGATAGGACAGAGCTTTTGGGCAAGCTCCACATGCTCAGTTTGATGTGTATTTCTAGAAAATGTATTCTTTTTCTTGGGAGAGTGCATGTGATCAGCACAGGGACAATCACCACTGTCCAAAAGGGCCAGGGGTCCTGCAGCCTCATAGGACAGTAGGAGGAGAATGAAAACGCCTCCTATAAACTTTAACCAGTGCTCTGCGGGACACTGATAGAAGTCACAAGACTGCTCTAACTGCTGATGAGAAAAGGTATTTAGCAGTTTATATTTACTAAAATAATTGCATTTCCATGTTCTGTGTACTGTGGGAGACCAGACATAGTGAATGCAGGGTCCTGGGTTTAGTAACACTTTAAGTTTGCCGTTGCAAATGAGGCCTTTCTAAAACTACACGACTGATCATTTTTTTGAAATTAACTTTCTTTCTTCAGGTGAAAAAGGAGATGCCGGAAAGAATGGAGCACCAGGACCTCCTGGGCCACAAGGTAAGAAAAAACATTTCTTCTTTCAGAATTCAGACATAGACTATAGAGTCAACTATTAAACAGAATAGTCCCCAATGTTAGGCTTTGTTTTCTCCACTGTTTTTGCGTGCTTGTCACATAATAGCATGGGACAGCACATTCACTTGAATGCAACTCCTACACCTTTTTTTGGCAGTGATATTCACGCTGGAATCAGATGGTGTCTTCTCCAATGCATGCGCACTGTGCTCTGAAGGGGTGACATGCCATCCCTTCAGGGCTCAGCGCCATGGCCAAGACTACCATGTGTATGCGTGGGAGTGACATCATCGCAGCTCAGCCATTCAAACAGCCAGAGCCTGCGAACCTGGAAGGAAGACTGAGTGAAGCTTTTAATAGAGCGCTTTGCTCTTGAGGATGAATGGGGCAGCAAGGAATGAAGTCAATGTTAGTAGATGCAGTTGGAGGTTGGGGGGCAATTAATTGAACCTACTTTTTTTCCATGCAAGGAAAAAGCACAGGTTAATTTTACTGTAGGTTCCAGCTGCTGCGGCTCTGTGAGACATGGCAGCCTATTCATTTGAATGGGCTGCTGTGCTTCCTGAAACACAGGGAAAAGGTCCCTGCAGCATTTCTGGAATCGCAGCCCACACAGGAGCCACAAATGCACTGTGGTTCCCAGCGCAGGAGCGATTTCCAGTGCACGCGGCGTGCCATTAGGATTATTGGCATATGCACACATCTCCTTCGGTTTTTCTGTGTGGGAGTTTGCAGCTGCAGGAATAGGTGCAGTCCCGCTGATGCAATCACCTAGATAGATGTAAACCTAGCCTTAACCCCCCTGGCAGTATTCCCGAGTGTAGCTCGGGGTTAGCTTTCAGTACCAGAAGCGGTAAACCCGAGCTACACTCGGAATTACCCTGCAGCATTTCTCAGGGATTCCCTCTTGCACTTACCTTGTCCTTCGGTCCCGCGATGTCCCTCCTGCAGCGTCCCCGGCCACCTCCTCTGGCCGATGCCGGCATCTGTCTTCCGGGTTCCGTTCCCTGCAAGCGTCGGGACGTACGGGGACGGAACCGGAGGGAAATTCAAAAATTTTAAAAGTGACATTCACTCAATACACTAAAATCACATAGAGTTACATTACTGTATCAAAGCATTTCACATGCATTTTGTCCCGAGTGCTTTGTCCTGTCCCCTGCCTGCATTTTTACTGTTCTTTCTGCCTGGAAACTGAGAAACGTCCATGGCGTCCAAAAAGCATCCCTTTAAATCAAAAGCGATTTTAGACCAGCTAGAATACAGTGATAGTAAATTAGAACCACTTGCAGAATTGAGTGATAATGATTTGTGGGGAAATTCGTCATCAGACACTGAAAAGCTCAGTGATATGCGAACTTGGTGCTATATTTCAAATTTCTGTGTTTTTGGTTTAATTACATTATTGAATTAAATTTATTAATATTATATTATTCATTAGGATTATTTATTATATTATAATTTATGATTTCGTGTTTCAAATTTTATCATACCCGGGATGTTTACTAGACTCTTGTTCAGACAGATTTCAGTGAGTTATCCCTAAGAATTACAGGCTTACAATAAAAAAACAACATATTTCCATGCAAAAAAATTTACCGCTTTGAGCACAGAAATACTGACATAATCAGACCACCAGGGAGGTTAAGAAGCCTGTCTGTGACTCTACCAAGGGATAGGAGAACGGGGAAAGATGGAAAGAAAAAAGTAGATTTTTAAGCTGGCCATACACTAGTAGAATTTTGATGGAAACTTTATCTTTTAAAAATGTTTATTCGATTTTCTAATCAATGAAAGGTTCAAAGTGATGTTTGTTTTCAACTGCAGTAACGAGAACATTCAAAGGAGCAGGATGGAAAATTTGTCTCAAATGAATAAATTTCTAAGTCCTCTTGCACACTTGACGTTTTTACAGCTGCTGTTTTTGGCCTTTGACGTTTTTTTCTACAACCAGTAAACCCCCCAGCATGTTATCCTATGTGTCCATGCACACATACACTGTAATCAATGTTTTCTGGCTGGGACGTTTTTTGGGTGGAAAAACCCCCCAGAACTAGTGGGTTTCTAGCGTAGTTTTTTAGCTGTAAAAAAGCTCTAACACTGCAAAATGCAGCAAAATGCAGTACAATGCTGCAAACCAGCGTTTTTGGACTTTTTTTGACCAAAAAAAGCCACTAATAAATGCAAATGCGGGAAAACACTGGAACCACCGCTAGATGCTGCAAAACGCTAATGCAAACACGTTAAAAAAAGCTGAAAACTCACGTTTTTAATGCGACTTTACACTGCTAACGTTACCAGCATTATCAAAATGTCCAGTGTGCATGAGAACTAATAGCGTGATTTTTGTTTGGGAAGTCCATTTGTTCCAAAATTGGATGTTAAAGCGGAGTTCCCCTCAACCTATCAAAAATAAAAGTCAGCAGCTACAAAAACTGTGGCTGCTGACTTTTAAAAAACAGCCACTTACCTGTCCCTCTGTCCCTTGGTGTGTGTCACCCGCAGCCCGTTTCACCGACCATCCTGTATTCCAGAAGGCCTGCATCTTCAGTGTGGGCACCCGGCTGTGACAGCTTGCAGCTTCACAGCTGGGTACCCACTGCGCATGCGCGAATAATGCTGTGCTTCATGAATGGTCCTGTCGTCTTCTAGGACCTGTCACGTGTCCCAAAAAACTACAGGGAGGGAGGACACCTTCCTCTTCCGATCGCTTAGGCGATCAGACCGGAAGTAGGAGTGGGTACCTGTCAAATTCAGGTACCTGCCCCCCCCCCCCCCGCCCCCCAAAGGTGCCAATCCTTAATGGGGAGCGGGGGAGCAGTCCTTAAAGCGGAAATTCCCCTTTTGGGTGGAGCTCTGCTTTAAAAACAAATGAAATTTTGAGGTACTTTTGAACTGCATTCATAAAATCATCAAATACTGGGGTTTTTCAAAGGAACATTTGTTTGCCAACCTACTATTACAGTATATGGGCAGCTTACTCTAGACAATATGTGACATGAGCACACAGGTAGTGAATGGACGGGACCAGTCACCTCCTAGTCCCAGGGACTGTTGCACTCCGTGAAGTTATGCACTGATGTATTCCTCTTTGTTTTTTTACCTTTACCCATATCAGTTGCTTATATGAAAATATTGCTTTGTTTTGCAGGACCAAGAGGAAATACAGGGATACCGGGACGCAGAGGTGTGCATGTTAAAAGATAATTTCTGCATCCCCATCATATTTATGGAATAACTCTCCAGATTAAAAAAAATCAAAAGATAATTTTCCTGTTTTCAGAAATCACCTTAAATTTGCTCCTTTAAGCCCTGGTTCACACTGATGCAGTGAAGAATTCTCAGTGTTTTCAGTGCGAATTCCGCACTGCCGTTCATGCGAACCGCTGCGGGTGTGTATATTAAATTAACAGCACCCTGAAAGAAGTCCGCAAATCGCGGTGCAATGTGCAGAATCGGATTGCATAGGTGTGAATACCCATGCAATACGATTCTAGTGTGGACCCAAAAAAGGGTTCTGCACGTTTTTGGTGTGGGTGCGGTGTGAATACAGCCATACAAAATGTATGGCTCCAATCGCACCGCACACAAATCAAATGTGATTTGCACAGGAATGTGGTGCGGTTCCTGTGCGAATCACATGCGATATACCGCACCACACATATGTGACCCCAGGCTAAAACAGAACTAAACTCATTGATTTAGCTGTTTCCAAAACAAATACAATCAAGGCATATCGCAAATACCTGTCACAATTGCTTGTGCTCTCAACTGAACTATCAAACCATCAAATTAATGGCAGCTTCCTTAGCTATAAAGTATAGAAGGGTTTAGTTCCAATTGAATTATCAGTTCAGAACATGCGGTCACTGGTGAGCCGGTAGACCGAGCCATAGGTGACAGTACATAATGAGGGTACACATCTGGCAAATGTAGGAAGCTGGAGCATCTATGATTGCAACAGTTGGCTCATGAGCCCAGAAAATTGCACTAATATAATCCCTAGGATTAATTATATTTAGTAGCATAGTTCCAAGACCTGCCTCCTTTTTCTGCTTGGCCCTCCTTCAAGAGACTGGACAGCTGATAAGATGCAATACATAAGATATAGCAACATTTTCATAGACAATAATTTAGCAATATATCAGCTGAAAGGCATTGTAGCCTAAAGCCACACCCCACACCCCACTTAATTTTTTTGGATCATATAAAGAATGCATACCTTTTTTTTCAATTGAAGCAAGTATTGCCCCAGCTTTAACATTTACTGTGAGCAAGTGGCAGCTGCAGGCTTGACAACATACATGTACGTCACCGCCTGTTTCCGGGTTTTCAGACACACATACACACATCCCCTGCTGACCCGTGCTGTGATTGGACACAGTATGAGTTCATCAGTAGGTTTCAGCTAATGATTTTTGCTGAAATTTGCTGATCGGCTGTGTCCAATCACAGCACAGAGTTCTGTGTTTACAAACACACATAACTCTGTGTACACAGAACAGTAATCTGGCTGTTTCTTCTCCCTGAAATGCAGGGAGAAAAAAACAGCCAGATCTGTGAGTTAAAGCAACACACATTACACTTGTTGGACACACAGTTGACCCCTTGATTGCCCCTTGATGTCAACCTCTTTCCAGCCAGTGTCATTAGTACAGTGTATAGTATTACATCTGATCTCTGTATTAGTCTCACTAATGATGTCAGTGTCATTTAGCCAGTTAGGGTTCCTCCCAGCCAGTGTCTGTTAGTGCTAGGTTGCCTGCCACACTGTAACAGTCCGACTACAGTGGGGAAAATAAGTATTTGATCCCCTGCAGATTTTCTAAGTTTACCCACTTACAAAGAAATGAAGGGCCTATAATTTTTATCATAGGTGTATTTTAAATGCTGGAGACAGAATAACAACCAAAAATCCAGAACAAAAACACATGATACAAATGTTATAAATTGAGAGCAGTTCTGTGAGTAACATAAGTATTTGATCCTCTATCAACCAAAAATAATTCTGGCTCCCACAGACTGGCTATGTGCTCGTGTGGTACACAGATTAGTCCTGTCATTTTAAGACGGTGCTCCTAACGCTAACTCATTATGTGTATAAAAGACACCTGTCCATAGAATCTCTTTCTTCCATTCAAACCTCACCACCATGAGCAAGAAGCAAGAGCTGTCAAAGTCTATCAGGGACAAGATTGTAGACCTGCACAAGGCTGGAATAGGCTACAAGACCATCAGAAAGAAGCTTGGAGAGAAGGAGACAACTGTTGGAGCGATTATTTGCAAATGGAAGAAATACAAAATAACCATCATTGGCCCTCGAGCTGGAGCTCCATGCAAGATTTCACCTCATGGGGTAAGGATGATCATGAGAAAAGTGAGAGGTCAGCTCAGAACTACACGGGAGGAGCTTGTGAATGACCTCAAGGCAGTTGGAACCACAGTCACAAAACCATTGGTAACACAATAAGCCGCCATGGATAGAAATCCTGCAGCACCCACAAGGTCCCCCTCCTCACGAAGGTATATGTACAGGCCCACCTGAAGTTTGCCAATGAACACTTAAATGATTAAGAGAAGGATGGGGAGAAAGTGCTGTGGTGAGATGAGACCAAAATTGAGCTCTCTGGCAATAACTCGACTCGTCGTGCTTGGAGGAAGAAAAATGCTGATTATGACCATAAGAACACCATCTCTACAGTCAAGCACGGAGGTGGAAACATTATGCTTTTGGGCTGTTTCTCTGCTAAAGGTAATTGAGGGGCCAATGAATGGGCCCATATATTGTAAAATCTTGGATGCAAACCTTCTTCCCTCAGCCAAAACACTGAAGATGGGTCTTGGATGGGTCTTCCAGCATGACACTGACCCAAAACATACCACCAAGGCAAGAAAGGAGTGGCTCAAGAAGAAGCACATTAAGGTCATGGAGTGGCCTAGCCAGTCTCCAGACCTTAATCGTTTATAAAAATTTATGGAGGGAGCTGAGACGTCGAGTTGCCAAGTGACAGCCTTAAGAAACCTTAAAGATTTAGAGACGATCTGTAAGGAAGGGTGGACCAAAATCCCTCCTGAGGTGTGTGCAAACCTGGTGACCAACTACAAAAAACATCTTACCACTGTGCTTGATAACAAGGGTTTCTACACCAAGTACTAAGTCATGTTTTGCTTGGGGATCAAATACTTATTTTGCTCAGTGAACTGAAACTCAATTTATAACATTTGTATCATGTGTTTTTTCTGGATTTTTGATTGATATTCTGTCTCTATCATTTAAAATACACCTATGATAAAAAATTATACACTCTTCATTTCTTTTTAAGTAGGCAAACTTACAAATCTGCAGGGGATGAAATAATTATTTTTCCCATTGTATAGGTCGCTGATCACCATCATCACCAATCGAACACTCGGGCACTGCCCGAGGGCCCAGGGTCAGTAGGGGGCCCCATGAGATGCCCCTGGTACCTTTCATTGGCTTTTCCATAGGCTTTTTTGGGTGTTGGTGAGGACACAGGGGCCCCATGATCCCCTATTGCCCGGGGGGCCCCATGAGTTGTCAGTCCGCCCCTGCACCATCATTATAATGTCTATAGCTGTGTAAACTACAGAATGTATATCAAAGATTGTTGACACTATAACTTTCACATAAACCAATTAATGTACACTTATTGGGATTTTTTTTACAAAGATATTTAGCAGAATACATTTTGGCCTAAATTTATGAAGACGTATTTTTTTTTTTACTGGATATGTTTTATAACAAAAGGTATAAAATATTGGGGTTTTTTTTTTTCAAAAGTTTAGGACATTTTTAGTTTATATCAAATAAATTTAAAAACCCAGTGGTGATCAAATACCACTAAAAGAAAGCTCTTTTTGTGTGAAAAAACTATATAAATTTCATTTGGGTACAGTGCATTTGCCAGTTAAAGCATCACAGTGCTGAATAGCAAAAAATGCCCTGGTCATGAAGAAGGTAAAACCGCCCAGAGGTCAAGTTAACGTTGGTGCACTTCTTCAAGAATATCCCAGATCCTTTAACATTTGATTAATCAGGAAATATTGCCTGCTAGCTGTTGTAGCGGCAACATGTTGTTGAGATCAGTTTTCACTAACTATGCAGTAATCAGCCTCCTCAAAACACCCCTCAAAGCACCCCCAGTAGTTTTGCTGAATGTGCCATAACCCTGTAGACCACTCCTCCCGGTGCTTCTGGAGCAGAAGGGACTCTGAATCTAGGTATAACCTTTTGATGATGTCAACTGGACTTCAGAGCAGATTTCTCTTGACTGAAATGAAGTAAGTAATGAGGGAGGGATAGGGTTGAATAGCAGAATTGCTTTGAAATTAGCTTTTAAGGTTAAGTGTTTTCTCTATGTTCATGTGAAAAGCTTGCTTCCTCTCCAGCATTGGTGGGACTTGCTGTTAAACTGAACAGTGTTCACATTGTAGTGTACTGTTCATGATGGAGCATTCCACTGTGAGCCAAGTTGCTTGATGACCAACCCCGTGGGCATGTTTCTTTGAAAGCTTGGACTTACCAGAAGTGTAATTTAACCCAGAAGAGGATTGGCCACCAGTGACAAAGGCAATTGTGGAATGCACCACTGAAGCATCAAAAGAATGAGTAGCACATTCTTAACACTCTTTATAAACATGGGGGTGAGGTTAAACCTGTAGGTGGCCTTCAAGGACAGATGAACTTCTCCAGATGGAGGAGGTCGCATGGACAAAAGTTCCAAAGCTGTGAAAGA